GTAATGTGTCTTTCTGTATGTCTGCTCGTATTTCACTCCTACGTGTTTTCCCCTTCAGTGGCTGAAAGATGAGGAGGACAAGAAGTCACACAGCCGGACTAAAAGGAAAAAAAAAAAAAAAAAAAAAGAGCAAAAGAAGAAGAGTGCCAAAACGTCATGGGTAACCATCAAAAAAAAAAAAAAAAAAGACATGCATGCATGCATACAATGAGGGGTGGCAAGGAAAAGAAAAGGGAGTGGGGTGGGGGGAAGAAATGGGTTTCATTCGCCCAATGTCAACAACAACAACAAATAAACGGCCGCCAACGGGATATTTTTTTTAAAAAGAAAAGAAATCTCCCTTTTTTTTTTCTTTTTTACCGCCACCACCTCTTCTCTTCCTCCACCTTCCCCCTCCTTTTTTTTTTTTTTCTTTCTTTCATTTATTCCTTGAGCGCCGTAAATAATAAATAATAAATAATGCGAGTGAGCGAATATGATGAAAGGCGTATGTTAAGCGACATCTAATAAATAAATATATGTTTTGTGTTGCGCGGCGTCAAACCACCGCCGCTGCCTTTCCCCCCTCCCCCCCCCCATCATTTCAGATACATGCATCCATTCTCGTTACCATACCCCACTTCCTCCCCCTCCCAGAACCATACATAAATATACATGCACGTCTCTCTCTTTGTCTCATACATTGAGCGCCAAGGCAGAAACACAACATGCGTCAATATACTCATTTGCCTGCAAGCACACACACGTACACACAAAAGGAGAGAAAGAAAGAGAGAGTGTGTCTATGCGTGTATATGTGTATGTATGTTCTGGTGTGAGAAGGATGGACACATGTAGGCATGTATGTTCCTCCTAAAAGTATTAGCGGCTCGTGTTTTTCTTCACTGTTATTCTTTTAACTCTCCGCCTTGTAGGATCAAAGCGGCCATCATATCTTCAACGTAATTCATGCGCTTCGCCGTGAGTGTGCGGAGCTCCTGAAGCTGCAATTCTGTTCCTCGTGCCAACTCCAAGTTTTCCGCGTCTGCACCGCTTAACTGCTGCGCCCTGTACTGCTCGTATTCCTGCTCCTTCTCCCGCCGAAACGCGGCCACCTCCTGCTCCGCATCGATCTTCGCCTGCTTCACCTTCGCTTGCCGTCGTGCTTTGGCGTCAGCAATGATTTTGTTGCGCTTCTGCTCCGCTGCAAGAAGCCTTTGCACGTTGTCCTGCTTTGGCGGCATCTTCCCCCACCACGCTTCCTCCTTTTCCTGTCTGTTGCGTGTGGACGCTGCTCTCCTCCCCGCACGGCAGTGAAGCCCGGCGGCCACAGTCCGCGTGGCAGAGACGCACGAGAGAAGAAAAACAAAACAACAACAAAAGGGAGAGGGAAAAAAAAAAGTAACAGGGGAAGACACCAAATAAACATGCACGCATGCCATGCAGCGCCCAGTGAAACGTCATGAAGTCAAATGTAAAAAAAAAGAAAAAGAAAGTGGCGGTAACACAATTTCTCCGTAGGAATGAAGAAAAGACGCACACGCAAGTAAAGTGCGTAAATATGGAAAAAAAAAATGTTTTTTCCCGCCTCCTCACACTGAAAGAGAGAGAAAGAGAGAGGGAGAAAAAAGAAGAGTCATAATGTGGGGCATGCACACATGTCTACATGTTCCACCCTTTCCATCGGTAGCCCCTATGGCGTGGTAATAAAAAGGAAGCTGCAAATAATAATAATAATAATAATAAAAGCAAACAACAAACAGAGAGAAGCTGGGGAAAAATTTGTAAATAAAGAAACAAAATGAGGCGACTGTTGCCGCAGCAAAAAAAAAAAAAAAAAAAAAAAAATCAGATACGGCACAGCTGCCATAATTGCATCATGCGCACTCTAATGAGCTGCAATGTATTGCCATGCAAAGATACTTTCCCTAATAGCAACTTCACAGAACCGAGATAAGGATCAAACTATAGGACTCATTTACCCAGCCAACACCCAACACACACACACACACACACACGCAAACACGTATACAAATACATACATGAAAGAGGAAATGCAGGCCGCTACCGGCCAAATAACTGGGGCAACAATCACGCTTCCCTACTTTCCCCAACTGCACACATTAAACACATTGACTCACTCACAAAAAACAAAAAGCAAAAATAAAATAGTAACCAACAACAGTACAAACAAACAAAAATTTAAAAAATGATATCATTACACCTATCCCAGCAGCCCCAAAACTTTAAACGGATTATGCCCTTTCCTCCCACACCTCACCGCGGCGTTACCGTTGGAAACGTCTTCTGCGGCTCCCAGTGGCTGCATTTAATGGGGGAAGGGAGACAACGCCTGTTTTTTTCAGCGAGAAGGACGAATCAGTGCATTTAACAAGGCTCTGGTAAACAGGCTTAACAATCGACCTAATGTCTGCCTCGCACTGTTCGTCAAAACCGCTATATTTGTCATTGTCGCTTTGGAAACTTTGTGAGTTATTACTTCCTCTCTGACTGCGGACGATGGCAGTTTCTTCGGTGGAATCCACATGAGTAAGTGAAACAGAAGGCCTTGGTCTCCACGAGTGCTGGCTGGCACGCCTGACGTTCAGTTGGGAGGGGCGTCTCGCCACACCTTCTCTCCCTTGTGAAAAGGTGAGGGTTACCTGCGAGCGTCTTCTTAAGCGCAGTGGGCTGTCCTTCAATGTATCAGACAAAACCATCCGGTCCATTTGCGTAATAAACTTCGCCCAGAGTTCTGCGGTTGTGTCCTCCGACAACAGTCTGTACGGTCGTAGTCCAAACCGGCGCCCACCGGAGGCCTCGTCGGCCTCGCGCCCTGTCGATAAAGTTCCCAATGCAATACCATCTGCAGACCACAATGTGACCTGAAGATCACTTGTCGCTGTCAGTAGCAGCGGCAGATGTAACGTCGGGTGACTGGCAGCGCCAAAAAAAATGACTTCCTGCTCCGGTATTTGCCAGGTGGCAATCAACACAGGGGAAGATGCCAAAGAATCGTCCAGGTAATGTGCCACGGCACCGCTCACATTCCAAAATTGCACTGTCCCCTCTTCATCCAGAGTCACCAGCACGTTGTGGTGGTCCAAAAACACAATATTAACTGCACTTGATATCACTGGATCTGGTAAAGACATGTCCTGGGAGAGAAATCTATGATCTAGGATTGATGTCCGGGCGTGCTTTGTTCTGCTAGTGTTAAGTATCGAAGACCTTTTCCCAGTTCGCGACTGGAGGCGTCCAATTTCCTGCTGCCGAAACCGTTCTTCCAATTGAGTCCCTATCCAACTTTCAGGTTTCCGTGGAAGCCAACTCCCGATCATTTCCCCTGAGAATTGAGAATAATAACCTTCTCTTTGCTCCGTCAACGTCACATGCCCACCTTGTGAATGCTTGCCATTTGTATTTGAGGTACAACCACGCATTGCTGCGATGTGCACCCGTCCCGTGACATCCGCAAAAAAGGCAATAAATTCTTTCGATTGACTGCTCTTAATTCCCTCTTCCGCAAAGCGGCCCCTCAACATGAAAGCAGGCTTTGTAATAATTGCTTCCACTGCAGCTGGCATGTGAAATGTGTGCGTGACAGAGAAAAGACCCCGGTAGTTAACAAAATGCACACGTGCATCTGAAGTCGCCACAATAAAATGGAGTTCCGTGATTGCCGTTGCCTTAATAATTTGATTCCAATGCAGGAATCTCTTCACTATTCCTTGAAATGAGATGACAGCCTGTGGACCGCAGTCTGGACGGAACGGGACAATAATAATCGTGGATTCTGTGGTAACCATCACATATGTTCTGTCATCATCGCCGTATCGCGTCACTGTATAAAGGTCCGTGATCTCCCTACCAAGAATATATGGTTGAATGGCGGGTGTCAGATCCAACGACAGTTCCAGAAGTGCTACCGAAAATGCCTTCAGTTCACCCCCCATGGTTCCCAACAGCAGCTGCCGATTAAGGGGCTCAAGCAAACAACCGGACGTGATATCAAACTTTGTTATATCCGGCCCAGTGCACCGGTCTAACATGCCTGTGGGGGCAGACCACAATTTGGCACACGAGTCATGCACGGTAAGAAAAAACTCAGGGTTTGGAAAAAATACAAACCGGCAGCTGCAACGGTCGTCAACGAGCGCCGGGCG